GAGTGGGAGAGAGAGAGAGGGAGAGAGAGAGAGAGAAAGAGAGAGAGAGAGAGAGAGAGAGAATACACTCCCCAGAGAGGGAGGGTACATTATTATCACTTCTCCTCCACGCTCCTCTAGGGACTTTAAGGCACCCATGAACACATGTCTGGCGTGCTCAAGTTGTCAGGTCCAGGACTCAAACTGCAGTCAGTTATATGGGATCTGGCAGCCTTAACCACCATGCCACTGGCAGGTCTGTATACGCCTATTTTTTTCTGTTGCTTTTCTGTAGATACACAAATGCTTTCCATTTTGTTACAATTGCCTGCAGTATTCAGTATAGTAACATGTGTGCAGGTTTGTATCCTAGGAGCAGTAGGCTGTGCCACAAGGCCTAGGTATGTAGTAGGCTACCCTGTTTAGGTGTGTGTGAAGTACACCCTATGATGTTTGAACAATGACAAAATCGCCTAACAGCACATTTCTCCTAATTTATTCCTGTCATTAAATGATGAGTAAGTGTACCAACACATGCTATGGCATGAATGAACCATGAGGAATGTTACGTCGTGTAAAAAAAAGTCACAGGCCAGCAATTGGCATAGAGGTTACGGCAACTGAATCCCACATAGTTGATTGAGCAGTTCGAGTCCCAGTCCCGGAGGCTTGAAAATCACACTGGGCACATGGCATGCTTGCCCAAAACACCAAGAGGAGACTTGAGAAGAGATTGCGGCCTTGCCATCTCCTCTGGGAGATGATTTCTCACTTTCCTGTTCTCTCACTCTCTTTTTCTCTCCCTGTCAAAAGCATGTGCCGGATAGCAACAACAACGAAAAAGCCACATACAAAAGGCCACATATGTAGATTCTATTTATATGAAATGCCCAGGATAGACAAATCTACAGAGACAGAGTAGATGGGTGGTTGCCAGGGGCTGGGGCTGGGCTTTTAAAAAGAAGCAATGGGGAGTGGCTGCTACTGGGTACCAGGTTTCTTTGGGGAGAGAGGTTAGTGTTCTGGAATTATAGTAGTGGCAGCTGTACAACTTGTGAACATACTGAAAACCACTGGACGGCACCCTGTCTTTCAGTGTTTCTTCCGCCAACCAATCCTCTACCCTGCAGCCAGTATGACCATCCTAAAAGAAAATCTGATTACGTTACTCCTCTATCTACAGCTCTTCAAAGGCTTCTGGCTGTCTTACAGTCCAGACTCCTGATCTTAGCATAACGTGTTCTTCAGGGTCCCTCTTTTCTCATTATTCCTCACACCACCTTCTTTCAATTCCTGAACCTTGCCACACTCTTTGTCCTTTCTCCTAGAGCCTTATAAAATGGTTCCCCTATTAATTCACTAACAAATATGTATTAAATACCCACTATTTGCCTGGCACTGTACTTATTACTAGGTGCATGGTGGTGAATGAAACAGATGCAGGTCTTGCTCTCAAGGTCCTTAAGGTCTAATGTAAAAATCAGGTAATAGGGCCCAGTAGGTGGTATGGTGGTGATTTTCTGTAGATACACAAATGCTTTCCATTTTGTTACAATTGCCTGCAGTATTCAGTATAGTAACATGTGTGCAGGTTTGTATCCTAGGAGCAGTAGGCTGTGCCACAAGGCCTAGGTATGTAGTAGGCTACCCTGTTTAGGTGTGTGTGAAGTACACCCTATGATGTTTGAACAATGACAAAATCGCCTAACAGCACATTTCTCCTAATTTATTCCTGTCATTAAATGATGAGTAAGTGTACCAACACATGCTATGGCATGAATGAACCATGAGGAATGTTACGTCGTGTAAAAAAAAGTCACAGGCCAGCAATTGGCATAGAGGTTACGGCAACTGAATCCCACATAGTTGATTGAGCAGTTCGAGTCCCAGTCCCGGAGGCTTGAAAATCACACTGGGCACATGGCATGCTTGCCCAAAACACCAAGAGGAGACTTGAGAAGAGATTGCGGCCTTGCCATCTCCTCTGGGAGATGATTTCTCACTTTCCTGTTCTCTCACTCTCTTTTTCTCTCCCTGTCAAAAGCATGTGCCGGATAGCAACAACAACGAAAAAGCCACATACAAAAGGCCACATATGTAGATTCTATTTATATGAAATGCCCAGGATAGACAAATCTACAGAGACAGAGTAGATGGGTGGTTGCCAGGGGCTGGGGCTGGGCTTTTAAAAAGAAGCAATGGGGAGTGGCTGCTACTGGGTACCAGGTTTCTTTGGGGAGAGAGGTTAGTGTTCTGGAATTATAGTAGTGGCAGCTGTACAACTTGTGAACATACTGAAAACCACTGGACGGCACCCTGTCTTTCAGTGTTTCTTCCGCCAACCAATCCTCTACCCTGCAGCCAGTATGACCATCCTAAAAGAAAATCTGATTACGTTACTCCTCTATCTACAGCTCTTCAAAGGCTTCTGGCTGTCTTACAGTCCAGACTCCTGATCTTAGCATAACGTGTTCTTCAGGGTCCCTCTTTTCTCATTATTCCTCACACCACCTTCTTTCAATTCCTGAACCTTGCCACACTCTTTGTCCTTTCTCCTAGAGCCTTATAAAATGGTTCCCCTATTAATTCACTAACAAATATGTATTAAATACCCACTATTTGCCTGGCACTGTACTTATTACTAGGTGCATGGTGGTGAATGAAACAGATGCAGGTCTTGCTCTCAAGGTCCTTAAGGTCTAATGTAAAAATCAGGTAATAGGGCCCAGTAGGTGGTATGGTGGTGAAGGCACTAGATTCCCACATGGCTGACTGCAGTTCAAGTTCCAGACCTGACAGTTTGCTTCCTACAAAAAATAATAATACAATGATATAAATAATTCTTATTGAAAAATCAGATAATACGCAAGTAATTACAGATTGTGATACATAAAGTAACGGAAGCAGGATGCTGTATTACAGAACATCTAACATTGAGCGGTGAAGGGGAACCATAGTGACTATTTTAGATAGGTTGATCTGTTAGAATCCCAGGTGTCGACATAATCCCAGGTTTGGGGCTGGCAGGTGGTATGGTGGGTAAGGTGCTGGACTCCCACAAGGCTGACCATGGTTTAAGTCTCGGACCTGGTGGCTTGCTTTCTCACATTCCCTTTTTTCTTCTCTAAATTTAAAAAAAATCATAATAATAAATAAAGATAATTTTTTTTTAAAAAAAGCCAGCTTTGAGAAAAGCAGGAGAGCACTGAATGACCAATAATACCTTTAGAGGCATCTGCAGAGCCCAGACAAAGGACTTTTGTTAGCCATGGTTAGGAACCTGGATTTCATTTTAAGTTCTAAGTGCAATGAAATTCACTGACGATTTTTTAAGTAGGTAAATGTCACTTTTTTGCTGCTGAATGGAGAAGGGATTAAATGGGCACAGGAATGGAATTAAGGACACAAGACAGGAAGATATACTAATGGCTTAGGTGAAAAGGGTGGATGACCTAGACTGGGATCTGACAGTCCAGGAGGTAAAAAGTACAAATAGATATTGCCTTGACGTATAAAGTCATCAGTTGAAAGTAAGAAAGACGCAAAAAGGATAGAGTTTGAGGAATTGTTGCTGGAGAGAGTTAGAAAGTAGGATTACGATAAAACAGAGGATCAGGGGGCCAGCAGGTGGCTTAGGAGGTAAGGCGCTGGACTCCCTCATGGCTGACTGCACTGGCGTGTGTGCATGCCCAAGATCCTGAGAGGAGAATGAAGAAGGGATTGTGGTGTGGCTGAGGAGTAATTGCTTGCCTTCTGTCTCTCTGGCATTCACTTATGTCCTATCTATAGCAAAAATCTCTCTAAAAACAGCAGCAATGACACTGAATCAGAAGGCTCTCAGGTCCACACTGAGTGACTATTTAAGAGGTTAGCCATTTCCATTTTATATTGTCATCAATGTGTGAATGACTTTTCCCAGAAAGCACAGCCATACAGGTGTAGAGGAGGGAGGACAAAGGTTGGGTTCATCCAAAGTTAGGATTCTGGCACAATAAAATGCAGGGAAGGATAAGAGAACAGTGTATTTCAAGGGAGGGCTTGCAATAATAAATATGACATGCACTCCAAAACTAGGTAAGGGGATGCAGCAGACAGGTAAGGAAGGATCAATGGCTTGAAGGTATAAATGAAGTTCAAGAATTGTCTCCTTGGGGCATATGAGTAATTGAAAGTATAAAAGCAGGAAAAATGATCAGATAGGAAGTTATCATTTGCTTTATCTGCTGGGAATGGGCATCTCCCATTCTAGGCAAACTATGTGTTCTCCAAACACCTCCATCCTGCAATTTTCTGTCCCGCCCTCCTGGACTCCAGGCACCATCTGAGTTCGTCACTCTCATCCAATCATAAAGGTCCATCTCAAACTATTCCCTCCTTGAAGCATTTATGTTTTTCCCACTCAGCTCCCATCTCCTGGTGAGAGCCCTCACTGAGTGTGTATTAGTTACTCACAGTATTCACATGACCAAATAGTAGCCAATTTATTTTCCACTTTATATTCCTTTTCTCAAGGAGAATTCCCTGGGAAGAGGCAGTCACAAGCCATTGGATCCAGTGACAGTACCCAAAACAGTGCTATACAGGGAGCGATCATTCACTAAATGTTAACTCAGGCTTATGGACTCCAAAAATCTCCCATTCGCCAACCCAGGTTCCACCAATACCGAAGTTAGCCAAAATCCCTGTGCGCAAGAGTCCCACATTGTTTCTACTTATTCACGAGCGGACTGCAATTTCACACATTTTATGTTAACCCACTTTAACATTCAAAACAACTTTACGCCTCGAGCAGCACTGACAGGATGAGAGAATGCGGGGAGATGGGGACTGTGCCACAATCAAAACCCAGGACGCCACAAGTCAAGAAACACCACATTCACTAGAGAGCAAATCATTTGCTTGGCAGCCCACCGCCAGCCCGGCGAGATCTAGGATGGAGATGATCCCAGGCCACATGCCAGGGGCCACCAGGCAGCCGGCAGCGGGCTGGCATCACGGTCTGGCCTCCACCTGGCACCTACCTTCCTCCCCTCCAGCTCCGGCCGCAAGGTTCCCGCGAGCGCTGGGCTCGGCGCCTGCTGCCATGGACACCCCGAGGCAGGCTCCACCGAACCCACGGTGGAGTGGAGCTGGAGAGGGGTCCGAGCCGGGCCAAAAGCAGAGATCCGACGCTGCAGCTCAGGAAGGAGCCCCGACGTTCCCTGCAGGCTCCCCCGGAAGTGCCCGCCCCCGTGGACGCACGTGACCCGCGCTGGGCGGGGCCACGCGGTTTGTTTTGATTCCTCGGAGGCTGGAAGGCTTGACACGTGGTCTGGCTTGTGGCGCCTTGCCTGTCCCCGGACCTGACCCTCCATTCACGTGTCTTCCCTCGGCTTCGCTTCTGCTTCTTCACGTTTTCCTAGACAGGTCCTTTCCGCCTCGGCTTTCTGCCCCTCAGGCCGGCGTTCGGGGACGGCGTGCTGTGCGGTGGCGCTCAGGCAGAGGGTGGGTCGCTTACGGGGACAGCGCCCACTCCCCTCCGCCGCCCCTGCCCTTCTGGCAGCAAGGGGACTCCACCTGGATTGCGTGGCTGTCCCGAATACGAACCTCAAGCAAAGTGTCCTTTAATTGCATTCCTCGTGACTCACTGCCTGACCTAGGCAAGCCAAGTATCCGACAGCTGACGGGCTTCTGGATTTGTTTAGGAAAACAAGCAAGTGGCTGCCTGATCGGGACATCAGCAGCCCCAACCTTCTCCTTGTTTACTCGAGTCAAAATCAGACTGAAGAGGAGTCTAGGTCTGTTTGCAGCAGAAACCTTCCAGCCTTAGTCAATACCCGTATTGCTCGCCTAAGCGACGGGCAAAATGGGCAGAAAGGTTTTATGTATTATGAGTATATACGTGTGTAAGGTTGACGGGTTTACAATCTCATTTGAAAAGATGCAGGGCCGGCTGGTGGTGTGGTGGTTAAGGGCGCTGGACTCCCACATGGCTGACCATGGTTCGAGTCCCGGCCCTGGTTGGCTCTCTTTCTTACTTTCCTTCTCTCTCTCTCTCTCTTTCTCGCTCTCTCTCTCTCTCTCTGTACCTCTCTGGTCAAACTAAAATAAATAAGTAAATAAAGTTAAATAAAATCATTTGAAACATTTATTTAAACAAATAACTGCTATAACTAAAACAAAATTATTTTCATGAGACAGCCCCCTAGGGCCTCACACTACAACTCAAGTCTTACCCTATCTCCCTCTATAATCTCTGAAGGTATGCCCCAATAAAAATAATCTAATGTAGAAGCAAACATGACGTTAAGTGGCCAAAGGTCACCGAGTTATTTATTAGGCACGTGATGTACACTGGGGCATTTCCTCTGGCAGCCTCACCCCGGCTCAGCCGCATTCCCCCTGGCTCGCTGTAGGACCCCCTGCTCCTCTCTGGCAGGTTTCCGCCCGGAGCCTCCTCCCCGGCCTGCCTCGCCTCGCCTCGCCTCGCCTCGCCTC